GACTCCGGAAAGGTCAGCGTGGCTATTGTCCGCTACCTGGGCTACTAGCGTTGTTCTATGTGCTCTGTATTTACGGAGTATGGAAGTACGTATGCAAAACCAGCCTTGTTACATGGTGGATGTTACCCCGTACGTATGGAGGTACTCCAGGGACTATGTGCAGTATGCATGTGGTACTCCGGTACGGAGTATATGGGAGGTTGATAGAAAAATATGTAGGTACATATAATAAAGCTACGGTGACATCACTCATTGCCACTCGCAGAGACTATTTATCGAATTAATGTTCTTGCAGCAAAATAAAGTTGATATTAGTCCCTGTTGCCGTTATCCAGGGAGATGGGTCATCTTATATCATCCAATGATCTACCCTATGTTCAGCATACGGCACATAAAATGTGAGCTGTCAACAGTCAACTTCGTTCAAATCCCGGAAAATTCGATTTATCTACGGTAGATCACCAGTGCATACTCCGTACACCTTGCATATAACATATACAGTGGCAAGCCCTGCGGACTTGATTATATACGAGCTTCACACAACGCGTACGTGCCCATGGCCGATGGTCTGTGGTGAAATAGTCCAAAAGGAGGGAGCATCGTCGCAAAAGTACTATATTGTGCATTGCATCGCAGAGAAGGAAAGTCGTTATTGGTGGGATGATCTCGGGGCCTTAACGGCTGCATATACTATTTCTTTAATTGCATCTGATATTCTCTCCTCTTCAACACGGTGGCCTGAACATAAGTCCTACATACTCCGAACATACCCCGATATATACAAGCATTCCGGCCGGCTCACTACACGATGAGGAGTTAACTAGCACCATTGGTGAGCAATAAGGCAATTGCCTTGGATCCTGCGATTTATGAACTACTGCAAGTAGTAGGCAATGACGTTGCTAGGAGTTTCACTATTGTTTCATGCGTCTAGAACCGTTGGGTTGTCGCCTAGATCCCCTGTCAACCATGCCACTGTTGGCCCAACCGACGACCCCCCAGCAAACCGCAATGCCTGTCACAATCTTAGTAGAACCTTTGAGATGCCTATTTCGTGCATGATTTTCATTGTGGTGGATCAATCTGCACAGAGCACTGGACTTAGCCCGCTCGGCTATAAGAACTAGAACTGACTTCGGACAAAAAGCTATAATAGAGGACATTAAGATGTTCAGGCTTAAGAGGCCAGAAGCACGTATCCTCGCAATAGTGCGAGGCATAGCCCGGCCGGTCGCGTGTAGCTGTGGAGATTGAGCTGATCCTTATTGTATCCCATGAGTCCAAACGGGCCTCTTTGGACAGAAGTTGCACCGTGCGGTTCGCATAGTTGAAGTATATGGAAGGATTATTGGCTTGAATTTTGTGCATGACTTGGTCAATCCAGTAATTTACTAAAATTGGACACTCGTTTTGTCAGTGCTCGCGCGTAACCATGGCCCGAATTTCTGACCCATCAATGTGTCATGCTGATAATCAATAGTTAGTACCCGTCTGGCTAATTCAGCGAATTACACTCTCATGGACTCTGTGGAGTACTACCTGTATATAGTTGGCAGTGATTGACATTGCTTACCACGGAATCAACAAATTCATGAAGCACAGGTTGACTTCCACTCTTGCATGTGGTTTTTCCACCTACGATATTCTTCTGGTCTTCGATAAGATTTGGCACAGTCAGCGTCTCGGAATGCTTCCTTCTGACGTTGGATGCAGGGTTTCCAGGTGGCCCAGTAGGATGTGTTCCGTGCATCCTTGGGGGTTCATAATAAGTTTTGCATTCCGTTAGCTGACCACAATAAAATGCAGAGGGGACTTCTGACAATCGACGTATGATATATGTTCTCACTCAGAAACAGACACTAGCCATGGTTGAAACTTCGATTTGTTTATTCTTTTGCAAAGTCATGCTCTCATGTATCTGCATTAGATTAATGCTATTTCTTGCACTATACATAAGCGCACTGGAAATATTTTTGTACTCATAAAATTCTTAGGGTAGCCGATCTTTTCGACCGAAGCATAAGGTTTTGACGTTCTTTGGTTCGGACGGGGAGTTCAACCGTCGGATACCGTAGACGATCACCATGGATATTAATTGGAGAGAGCGATTTAACAAATTGGTGATGAGATAATTGAATGTCTAGGTTTGGGATCCTGGGGGTCTCAGTGCCGTCTGACAGTTGTATCCAGTTTGCGGATTCCTGCAGGAACTACGGAGTCGCTGCACATGAAGATGTGTGGCTTGATACAGTACTTTACAAGTGTACACATGGAGACAGTACGGGGAGTTGTTTTCTACCCTACTGGAGCGAGGAGCTACTAGGCCTGAACCCACTCAGGAAAAGTGCTGCACCATTCCGAGCGGGTCGGGTGGGGGTCAGTATAGAACCGACGCCTTGGTTATTGGCTCCTCCACAGAGATTTGGGTTTTTGGGAGATTTCATTCGATACGCTTTCCCGTCCATAGGAGATACAAATTCTCTGGTAGAATTGATGAACCCTCAGGAGAAAGAAGTGGCGACCAGAAAGCATTATCGTTTGAAAAATGAATAGTGTGTACGGAGTACAGATGGTTCCTTTTTTAGTGAGAAGCACAGGGCAGACACTGAAGGGTCCCATAGATCCGTACGGAGTTCTATGGGAACAACTACAGCTTCATCTCCGCTTTGCCGGACATGGCTGACTAAGTCCCGGGCTACCCATTTAAAATTTGCCTGGTGGGGATCCCGAAGTTCTCAGCCGTTGGCAACTTAGTTATGCAGTATCAACGCTTACGTACGCCACCGCTGCCTCGTTTATTCGCCTCCTGTACCAGAGATGCACCTGACCCTTAAACTATGAGACTGGAATAAGGGACCAAACCACCGAAGCCTTATCTCTCTGGACCGGGGAATATCCAATATTGAAACCTAGCAGAGGAACAGGTGACAGGAAACGCTCGGGGATCAGCAGCCGGTTAATTAGGGGCCTGAGTTCAGTCTTTGCACCGTACGGCCCCGGCTTGTCCCATCCGAAGCTTGGAAGGTCATAATTTATGGAGAATAATAAGGCCATTGTATTATATCTCCGTCATTAGGCTAGGCTCTTTGTGCTTATGGCAGCACAAAGGCTAAGAATTTCGCCGGTACCGTAACGAAATTACATTTGGCAGGTATGGAGTAGATCTCTATTACTTCAGGGCGGCTCTGGATTTATGGTTAAAATTGTTTCCATGTTATTTTCAACTGGTGGTATTGGTGTTCCGTTCCTGGTAATGTGCGGCGAGACTAGTTCTCTACATATGGTGTAATGTCCGACTGTGGCGTCTTCCATTGAAGAGATTCAATTACAATTCTTTGGGGGGCAAAAAGAAAAAAAGAATTAAGCAAGATATTGAATGAATTTTTTCCAAGAATTAATGTTCCGATGGCGGTCTGGGGTTGATAGATAGATTGGATAGATCAAGGTAGGCGATTTGATTATTGGCCTGTACAGGCCCGACTGGCTGGAGTTGTGTCGCCTCTGGTTGTACAGGATGTACGATGTAAGGAGAACCAGTAGGCTGGATCCATCTAGTGGTACTGATGTTATATGGTTTCTTTTTCTTGTTTATGATATGAGTTAAAAATAGGAGAGATTTTGGTTGACAGCAGTACACATCTGGTACTTTTTGTACAGATGACCTCATCCCCTCTCACTTTGTAAGTGTTGTTTGACATTCACCTCCTTCTTAACCTAAAGAAATAGAAAAGAAACGAAGGAGGAAAACTCATTTTTCAGGGGCCTTCGTTCAAACTTCCAGTCCCTGGATATGCTCCACTGGAAGCATTTTTGGTGGCCTTTCAAACCATGGCTCGGATGCTGCACGCCCCACTTAAAGAGATTTTCTTTTTTCTTTTTCTGTTCTTTTTTTCTTTTTTCTTTTTATTTTATTTTCTTTCTTTTCTTTTTTTGCTGGGTGACCTTTTGGTGCTGGTACCATTGTCTGGTATTCCTGCAGGAAAAGTGTACCTTGATAATACTTAGGTGGTATGGGCTAACCCGTGGTTGTATCAATGGGGACGGAACGTACCAATGAAAGACGAAGTGGTACCGTTCAAGTACCGTCGAGGTACCAGTAATTCGATGATCGCTCACCCGCCCCATCCACTATCAACGGCCTCCTGAAGACCGGCCGTGACGCCGTCGTAAAATTATTCCCACCATCACGATATCTGCAACTTCCACTCCTTTCTTTCTCTCACTCAGACTTTCTGCCTTTGTGTTTTGTGTGTCTGCGCATCAAACAATTCTCTTTGATTTTCGACCCCCTGGTTCAATTCCTTCATCCTCGGGACTTTTTCCTAAATCCCTCCCCCACTACAATCTCCCCACTTGGGCTTTTTCCCCTAATATAGGAATTCGTTCTTTCTTCCACCTCCACCCCCCTCTCTTCTTTTTAGGTGATCGCTTTCCCTCCTGACCCGTCAGGAGCATTCTTTCCTAGCTCATGTGGAAGCATCGACCGTCTTCCAGATCGGATGCAAAGTCTGGGAGCATCGATCCAAGTTCCGAGCGTGGCTTCTTTGGCCGTCCCAAGAAGAAGTCTCCGCCGAGTAAGTATAGTGTCTCATACTAGTGCTTGTGCTTGATTCTAGTCCCTCATTACATTTATTTTTATTATTTTTTTTCGTTTGGGGCCTTTTGTCTTTTAATTTGACTTTCCCTTACCCTACTGTCATCATCATAACATTATATCATTCTGGACCTTCACCTCCTAAATCACCAGTCCTTTCCTCTTCTTCTTCCCTGCATTTTGGTCGTTCCTTATCTCTCTACCTTAACCACCCCCGGTGATCCTCGTTATATGTGACACCAAAGAGACAAAGAACCTAGATACTTGCGCTACTGTTATGCAATACTACCTCACTACTGCCCTTTCGTAGTCGACCCTCCATTGCCCGCTTCCGTTCCTTTTTTCTGGCCGTTCATTATTATACCCCCCTGTTCACTGACAGGTGCATTCGTCATTATCTACAGTATTTTCTCGACCAGAATCCCCCACCCGCTCACCATTCCGGTCTCTGCGTTCACTCACTCGCTCAGAACGACCGGGCAGTAGGCTGTCCAACCACGCTGGCTCTTTCCGGTCTCGCGCACCTTCAACGGTCACCAGTGGTTCACTGTACCCTGACCAATCGGGTTCTGACTGGCATTCGAATTCAATCAATTATTCGTCTCAAACGTCGTCCAATTCCATATCAGGCAGGCCAATGGCAGGCCTAATGGATGTTGACCGGACTCGGTCCCGGAGAGACAGGACTTTTGTGGGTAGCGAGTGCGCTGTCTGCGAGGAGCCGCTAGAACATACCCTGCGAGGGGAGCGCGTTCTCCAATTCTCTTGTGCACATGTAGCGCATGAAGCCTGTTTCTACGAGTTTATTAAGGAGTTCGAGGGACAGTATTGCCCAACATGTGACGCCCCACTGGGGCTGGACACAAGTCGTGGGGGGAATGTGTTAGACATCGGTAAGTCCCAACACTAGGTAGGACATCAGGAGACCTGTTGCTAACTCACTTGTAGAGAAACTTAGCAATATGGTGCGCTCAGTTACCAGCGATGCCGCCACACAACGAAGTGGTGTGACCGGGGCTACTGCGCCGTGGGATCAAAGCACAAACGTAAGTCGCGGCCGGCTGCCCAGTGACGCCGGGAGTAGGCCGTACAACCGCGACAGCCGGGATATGTACAGCCGGAGAGACAGCGTGATACGGGCGACCCGCGTGAACGGATTGAACGTCTGACATCCGGATCCCGCCAGCATCACTCCCGGAATGGTAGCGCTGCTGGCTCATCGGGTGACTACAATGATAACCAGCATCCGAGCAACGGAAGACGGCATGACTATGACCTCCAAGCCATGGAGTCCGAACTGAGCCCTCGCTCTGGGGCCACAAAGAATCCCATCCCGGCTCCAACGATGACAATTCGGAGCGAGTTTCCAACCCTCAACCGGTCCCGTCAACAACAGCCTTTGACCTGTCTAATCACCGTCGAAGTCCCTGAAGGCTGGCGTGCAGACTCCGATGACTTGCGCCACACGTCGACTGGCTCACCACAACCGGAGGATGAGCCTTACAGTATGACCCGTTTTCCCGCCGCCCAGGAGTCCCGCCCATCTCCATACGAACCACAGGAGAACCTGGATGAGATTGCGGAGGAACTGAGGACGAAAGTGGACAACTGGCATGGTCTTGAGTTTCAGCGGTATGCTGATCTGTGGTTTCTTTTGTTTGTAGGCCCTTGCTAATTATATATTAGGTTCGGAAAGCTTCGCTTGCATGGACAGATGCGGGTCGGCAAAGACCGTGAATCGTGGCAGGACTTGCAATGCTACCTGTTCGCGGAGATGCTTATCTGCATCAAAGAAAAGAAGGCCAACGATCACCGCCGCCAATATGATGACAAACCGCGACACACACGGTGTACGCTTAAGGGCTCGATTTTGATCAAGAAGCATCTCAAGCATGTCGATGCGGATACAGGTAAACCAAGATCTTGATACCAGTGGGCAATGAGCGCGTACTAACGATATATACAGATGAGCCCGTTCTAACTCTGAGTTTATCCGTCAGCGAACTTCCATGCTTTTACCTTAGATTCCAGAACCGGAACCAGTTGGAAATCTGGCGTCGTGCTCTGCTCGATCTCCACCAGTTCGATTCCTTGTCTCGCAGTGCCGACTATGACCTAGAGAACTCGGGAACCGAGGAGGAAGACTATCGAAACAGCCAGATCAAACGGCAGGCATCGCTGAACTCCTCATATGGTGCGGCTCGGTCGATCAATACTGCCATCACTGACTACACGAATGTGGCCGTGGAAAGTGGGCCTAGCCCGTCTCTGCACATTCCGCTTGATATTGTAGTGGTGATACCCGTGTCATCTTCGATGCAGGGCCTGAAAATCACGCTTCTGCGCGACGCGCTCAAGTTTCTTGTGCAGAACCTTGGACCTCGGGACCGTATGGGATTAGTGACATTCGGTTCTAGTGGCGGCGGAGTCCCTCTGGTGGGAATGACAACGAAGTCCTGGGGGGGATGGGGCAAGATTTTGAACTCTATCCGCCCCGTCGGCCAGAAGAGTCTTCGTGCAGATGTGGTTGAAGGGGCGAATGTGGCCATGGACCTCTTGATGCAACGGAAGCTGTCCAATCCCATATCCACTATCCTCTTGATCAGTGACTCGTCTACCTCTGACCCGGATAGCGTGGATTTTGTTGTGTCCCGGGCAGAAGCTGCTAAGTGCGTTTCCTTTAATTTTTGATACCAAGATCATGGAACTAACTGTCTTGTAGGGTTAGCATTCACTCATTCGGTCTGGGACTGACCCATAAGCCGGACACGATGATTGAGCTTTCAACTCGGACAAAAGGCTCATATCTCTATGTCAAGGACTGGATGATGCTCCGTGAATGTGTCGCAGGGTGTCTCGGAGCTCTGCAGACAACTTCTCATCAGAATGTCAAGCTGAAGCTTCGTCTCCCGGAAGGTTCTCCGGCGAAGTTCGTGAAAATCAGTGGGGCCCTTCACACCACAAAGAGGGCCACCGGCCGCGACGCGGAGGCCGCTCTCGGTGATCTCAGATTCGGAGATAAAAGGGACATCTTGGTTCAGCTTGTTATCCAGCCCGACAACAGTTCTCAGGAGAACATGCCGCAAGATCCCTGGGAGAGTCTGGTCTCCGGACTGGAAGCCCTCGGTGGCGGGTCGGATGGAGATGAGCAGCGAGTGCTTAGCGTGGAGGAAGTCCCATTGATCCAAGCGGATATCACTTTTGGAGATCTTCTCCGTGATGGCCATTTGACGCATTCGCCGCGACCGTCACTTTTGGCGATCACTATGCTTCCACCAAACCCCAGGATTCGACATTCCAGTCGACCGACGACGCCCCCTATTCCTCCGCATCCTTCAATAGTTCAGCGGCGCATGGAACTACTCACGTCCGATATGCTAACTAGAGCATTGACTTTGGTGTCACGCGGACATCATGATCGTGCGCAGCACTTATTGGTTGAGACCCGCAGTATCCTTAAGGGTCTTGGTAAAGGAAGCCTGCCCCCGCTCCCACCTGGTGCTGTTAAACCATCAAGCATCAGCGACTCTGGCAGCAGAGGTGAAACGTCTACATCCACTTCTCCAAGATCTTCTACTTTCGCCGATAGCCACTCAGCTATCTCGGACTCCGCCACGGTCACACCAGGAGCCGCGGTTGATGCGCAGACCATGCAGGCGCTAGATGGTGACCTACAAGCAGCGCTCGAGTGGATCAATCATCCTGCAGTGTTTGGCCGGGACTCTCGCAAGGCTGTCCTGCAGGGTATTGGCGTGATTTCGTCGCAGCGGGCGTACACCTTCCGATCGCCCTCTGAGGCACACTGGGCCCAGCGGGTGGCTGGAGTTCGACGACTGACCGAACGGTCTAAGGAGTGGCGTGAGACCGGCGATGACGCATTGACTGAAGAATGAACGCTCTGACATGACTCTCGCTTATAAACTTTTCTTATTTCGTCGCATATGTTTTTTGTTTTCCTTAATCACCCCTTGAGTGGCTACTAATATCCCCTTTTTGCCCTTTGATTGTTTATGATACCACTTTGTTCACCATGACTGTGCAGCATGATACCACGGGTTTGGTTATTTTGTAATATTGTGATCTGTTCTTACTGGTTGTACCTGTGTATATATCAGCTTATATTCTTAATATTGGATGGTGGACGGGGATCGGATTAAATCAGGATGAATTACGGCTTTTTACTCTTGTGTCTCTGGCGAGCAGTCATGAGACAGGTCTGTTCAATACAGTCCCGTCTCTCGTGTATTTCTTTGTGTGTTTTGCTTTTATCCCGTGAGATGCCATGTCTAAACACATCAATTCCGGAACCCCAAATCGTCTTTTCCCACACGTCTACCTGATCATGAAAGCCAATTTTTTTTATTCCCGGGACGATGCAGCCAGAGTCTCAATCCAATACGTATTCCTTGAAACCTCTTGTCCTTGTCTTAAGAATTCTGTATTGTTCATGATGTCTCCGTAGCCATCGCTACCTATAGCCTCAACACCGCACCAATAACCAAGCTTCAGTATCGTATCTAAAACGATTAGACACCGCTCAGCTATGGTTTGAGATCATCAAACATATGCATTCAGCCTGAATAGCAATTATATCGCAAAGTATAGAATGGTTCGCGATTTAAGGATCAGATCATGTGTTCCTAAGGACCTTCAACGGACATCGTCTCATTGAATACCCCCCCTCCCCCAATCTATCTTCACCTACTGTGCGCTTAGTGTTGCAAAAAAGTCAACAAGCCATATACCCAAGATCGAAGGCGGAGACACACACCTACCCACTTACTTGCTCCAATTAGACAATTTTCAGCGTGGGCAATGCCCTGAACGACATGTAGCGAATGTTTCCGATTGCACAAGCGCCCAAGGAACAACAAAGAGCCATGGGAAGGTAAAACTCTACGATCCCAATTTAGAAACCCATGCAAGCGATCATCAGACGAGGGGACGAACATCAGGGTCTGAAATACTATGCATCCGGATGGGGAGAGAGGGAAAGGCATCCATGTACGCATACAAGCATACGTGCATACCAAGATAGGATGTAATATACCATGTTTGGTGGTAAAACAAGACGACGAGTACGATACGGTACGATACGATGGGTGGAGCAGTGACGACGAGGTCGTTGATTGGATAGTTGAGCTTAGGAGTTAGTAGTATGAGATATAGAGTTAAATGAGGTGCGCATGTATATTTTTGGGCTGGAAAGAGCTGTTGTAGAGGATTGGAATTGATTTCTAAAATTATCATTGTGAGAAGCGTGCGGGTGCCGTGGTGCAGTGCGCTATTGATGGGTAACGAGACGGATTAGACTGGTTGATTGGTAGGTGAGGATGTTGGGAAAGTGGGTGTTGAGCGTGATGATAGGCGTAGTTGATTGTTCAATATGATTAAACCAATGAGGGGTCCCAAGTCGGAGAAAATGATTGTGGTTGCCAAGGTGAAAATGGTTGACACATGCCATGCATAAGGCTGTGGGATAAGAATAGAATACTCCGTGGATTGGAACCCTGTATATACGATATATGCGATGATTCTAGGGAGGGAAAGTTCGGACGGCCTGATCTCTTCGGGCGTTTATTCTAGTAGTTCTATTTTGATCCTTTCATGTTTGATTGTTCACTTTAGTTTAATGAGCGAAGTTCAATTACTGATGTTCGGTGTGGTTTACGGGTTCCGCTCCGCGGCCAATGCCAAGAACGTGGTTTGAGAAGTACTATACTATCCCATCAACTGTTGGCTGTATAGTACCCCCGACAGCTCGAAATCCTTCTACAGTGCATTCATAGCGAAAGAAAATTGGTGCCTGAAGTAAATTGAGAACACGAGTTTCTCATAACGTTTAATTCCATTATCACAACCCCCCATAAGTTGCATCGCACCCCGAGTCAACCATCATCACCCATGAGGTGAGGTTGAGATTGAGATTGCTTCCAAAAATATCTCCCACTAAAGCCATTTCCCATAGAGGGGAGCCGATCACTCTGCATGTGCTCCCCCATTGTGGGGCCTGGCAACCCGATCACATACCAAGGGGCAGCAAGCGAAGTGACAGGGGGAATAGAAGTGACCAAAAAAGAAACATCGACTTGGAAATGGATATTTAGTGGAGCACGCCGTAATAACGGCGGCTGGAAGTAGATGTTTACAGGAGTGATCGGGGAAAGGACAAGGAGGTGTGAAGTTTCTTCGGTTGGTTGGCGCAGCGGGAAATGAGAGGGGACTGTAAATCGAGTGTCCTACGTTAGCTTGTATGGAAGTCGAAAGAGCGGGCTCGTTGATTTGTCCAAGGAGAGTGTGGGAGAAGATCATAACTGAAAATTGTAGATAGAAGGAAGCTCCTGTGACGTAGGCAGATCGATAACAGCCCTGTTTGTTCTAAATATGGATTCTGCAGAAGCTTGTTGTGGGGTCTGGCGGTTATGCACATTTTCAACGGTGATATGTTTGGATGGGGGCATGAACTACATGCTAAATCTGATACCAAGTGACGAGGAATGCATTAGTCGCCGGGCGGAAGAGGTCGATATCTAGAAATAGAATATCTTATTCAAATGCAAAGATATGGTTGGACGAGAAATAGCGTCCGAACTTGCCGGGGGACGACACTCGCGCTTTGTAGGGTAAACATGCCACATGGTTGGACGATGACATTTGACGAGGGGGACGGATCTTTGCAGTGGGATCCAAAAATAGCCCATGTTAAGCGCAGCTCACGTCGAAAGCTGCAAGGTAGAATCACACGATTGCCCAACTAGCGCTTGCTCTGGGATAGGATGCAGTATCCTGGTCCCATTGTCCGCGATGAGTGGTTGCATCCCCGCATGAGTGATGGGCACTTCAACCAACCATGTTTCTTAGAGGATACGCTAAGACCAAAACCGGAAAAGCCTCTGCGGACCTAAATTGAGATTGAATGTCAACGTCAACCGATGATTGGCGGATGGCAGGTACAATGAGAGAGTATCGCTAACCGGGGTCTGTTCTCACTTTCAACTTAGCACATAATACTTACTACTACTAGTACTTGCCACTTAATGCAATGCCTATAGAAAACGCAGAGAAAGGAGGCCTGCAAGTGAAACCGCCGGTGGATCGTGCCCTTCTGCCCGTTTCTTTTTTTATCCCAAAGTCGAAGCAATTGGCCCAAACTGAGAGTAGAGCCGGCGCTTCGACAACTTGAGCTCCCATGTGAGTCCAACCCGTAGTCTTCATCATCCCCCTATCCAATATCCTATACCCAATGAGATGCCCCCAGAGGAAATAGACAAGCAACTGCTATGCATTAGATCGACCATCGGACCCACCCTCAATGAAGAATTCTAGCGTGGCTTGACCCATGTCCCTACTGCATACATGTAGATCCCTGGGTTTAACTTCAGATTTGCCAGGCTTCACCCCATGCAGGGGTTCGGGAGTATACTAGGGAGCTCAGGTATCTATTTTAGTATCACTATCACGATAGCTTGCGGTGTTAGCTTTGAATCGTAGTGTGTCATTCGCTGGGAACTTCCCATGCTGCGGAGGCATTCCTGCTTTCTTCCTATACTTCCAATGTCTTTGGGGTGGAGATAGCCTAGGAAATGGGTCACACGGCAGAGGGGAACAGACATCTCAAGATAGTAGCCAGTGATAATAGCGATAGTAGTATTAGCATTCTAGTTCACATCAAAAGTAGTTGAAATCATGAAAGGGACATAGAAACCTGCATGGTGTTCAAGACTCAGTTGATACTGTATTGGTATTTTATTACATGTATATCAATACATATACGTAATAAAACACATACTCATACTTACCCAGGTATGTGTGTATGTATATGCATACATGCAGCAAGATACACTATCAACCCCAACAACCCAGTCATACGTAGACATTAGTTGCTGCGTATCTCCGTTGGTTCTTTCTATTCCGCCTCAATAACCCCTAGTAAGGCGTCATTTGACCATGTAACTCTGGCCTTGTGTTTCCAACGTTACGAGCCTGCGTTGGTACTTGGTGGCGGTGACGCATCTAGCAGCGAAGCAGCCAACACAGAATCCTTCCATCGGGCATAACGCCCTGTACGCAGTATAGCGGTTGTTAAATCTTGATTGAGACAAAGACAAACACTCTAAGTTGCTGGATCAGAGCGTCGAAGGATCATGGGGCTGACACGTGGGAGGAAAAGCCCCCGACTGGCGCACTAGAAATCCTTTCAGCATTAGGGCGGACTCAGCAGAATCCAATCACCGTCTACACTCCGACTAGACTGAGGTTCAAGCCAAAGATTATTGACACTTCCAACATGTTGGTGACATCTACAGAGCAAATGGTTGGTGTTCAGAACAGCGCAATGCCCCATAATCTCCAATGGGATCTCCAGTAACAATCAGAGACCCTCGGAGGGTTCAAGGCTAACAAAGTAGGCTCAGCAAGAAATTCAATTCAATAGGCTAACTGCTAGTTACAAAAATCACAAACAACCAACGCCCAGGTTCAGCACCTCAACCAAAGCATAGCAACCGCAATCCATCCTCGACCGCGCGAAAGCCGCCTGCTTTTCCGATCAATAACATTACATGACCAAGACTCTCGAACTCCATCTGCCCGCACGCTGTACACAACGTATACCACCAGGGTATACTGGAGGCCTTTCTAGAACCAATGAAAAGCAAGAAAAAATCCAACACGATCACATATGCAAGGCGAATCAGTGCTCGTAACGTAACATGATCAGGACGCATAACTATAAACGCTAGATTGCAGCTTAAAACTCAATCTGTCATAACCAACATGTCATAAAGCACTCTAGTTGTCTTCAGAGTCATGAGTCCTTCTTCGCTTGCCCCTTGGTGCGGGGTCGAGCGAAGGGGCGTGCTTCAAGGTGATCGTATGAGTGACGATATGCTGGACAGTGATGGTCCTTCCATTGGCGCCATTTGATGGCTCAGCTCGCCTAAGTCTCCAATCTGCTGGCGACATTGGAGTATGGGCCATATAAGGTGTCTGAGGAGTCTCCGGCACGGAGGCAATGTATGGTGGTGGCACACGGAAACGTCGTGCGAAGCCAACACTGCTGGCAGACCGTGGAGGAGCAGGCGGGGAGGCAGGGACAGGTGTAGAGCTAGCTCTTGCATCGTCGCCATGCTGAAAAGAAGCACTAGAAGCACTTGATGGAATTGAAGCAGGCGAACTGAGGGGTCTGCCAAATGACCAACGTGTAGTGGTTGGGTCTGGGCCGTCTGGACTTCCAAAAGCTGGGCTAAGAGCCCGGAGGAATTCCGTATATGCCAGAGGAGGTGGAACTGATGGTCCACTGCCTTCCTCACGTCCGTTTTCGCTCGAAGAGGTGTTTGTCGAGGAAGCCTCCTGAAGCTCCGAGGGGAAGATGATATCCTTGGACGTTTTGAGAGGATAGAGGTCAGGTCTTGGGGCCATTGTGCTTTCGGTCGATATAGAAGATCGATGATAAACAAGAAGACCAAGTGATAACAAAGTGCAAGATGTATAATAGAGATTGATAGAAGGAATGTATCCAAGGTATGTTTCAAGATGGATAACTACTGGTGTCAAGAAGGATATGACAGTGACAGATAATTGTCGGGTAGTCGAGCTTTTAAGTCTTGTGGAAGACAGTTAGGAGAAAGATTAAAATAGAAAATAGGAGCCTCTAACCAGTAGGGGCGTCTATGAGGAGGTTAAGATGGATCGTGGAGGAAGTTGGTATCTCTATAAAACTAAACGGCGCAGCGTCGGTTCGTATGGAAACAAACGGTAAGATACACGAACGGTCGTATCGAACGGTATCCGTACGTTAAAGGTATTGTGATGGTTCTGTGACTGGCGTCAGATCTAATCCAAAATAAGTTAGTTTGCTCATGCCCGATCCAAAATAGCAAAAATAGCAACAGAGACATCGACTTACATCTGCCACTTTCTTTAGGACCTGCCAAAGAATGAGTAAAAAAAGAACAACCGATGATCCAATGCCTTGTGGTTCGACAGTTGTGATGCTTGGTGGCCGAGTTCTATGCTGATGCTTGGTGCTGGCGCTTATCCCTCAGGTGGTCAACAGCGGGAGGAACAAAATGTTGCGTCGATGAACGAACGTGGTAAAGGCAATGTGAGGCACGGGATCAACTGATCACCCTTTGCTTGAGGAAGATGATGAAGGAGAATGGTTACCTTTGCTGGTGGTATCTCTCCCCTTTTTATCCTTTTCCATCCGGATCTCCTACCACATTGGCAACAATGGAAACATGACACAAGCCATTGCGCTTTATTATCGCGCGCCTTCTGAATCAATGCCATTGCATCGATCCCACGAATCCTTTGCGGCTACCAGCCTTCTCCATGACAGTGGCCCGGATCCACTAAAGTCACTGATTAGGACCGCGCTTCCTGAACGTGTCGGGTTCGTCCGTCGAAGACCGCGCGGCTCTTTTAGGACCCTCAGATACTCCCAGCCACAATGATTCGAACAATATAACCATGACAACCATCTCTCAGGGGCCACAGCGCTTAACTCAACAGAAGTTTGTGTTTCAGCCAAGACTAAGCTAGGGTGTTCTGTTTCGAGTGACGCCAACTCAATAGCTGTTCAAATCTTGCCCGGGCCCAATAGTAACACAGGGATTGACTTTCTTCAGGGCCTCATCTCACCCTGAATTCGACAAACCTGTTCCTGCTTGGCTCTCATTGAACATGCTGCCTCTGATCAGCGGTCGGTATGAAGATGCAGCCCCTGGAATGCTATGCAGAACTGACAAGCTCCGTGTCTGTGCTCGAGTTCCTGAAGAGTGCTCAGCGTCTACCTGCATGTAGCTACACTATTCAACACCAGTGCAATGCAGATAAACATGGTGGAGTAGTTTCATACTTCTACACCAGGCTACACTCTCCTATAGTTTCTCTTTTATCCTCTCCTCTGTTACCGCCGGCTCTGTACGCAATACTAAACCTGAAGCACAAGCATTCCTTGTAATCTTCAAGCTACAAAGCTTCTGTGCTCTACACACACTTACTGCTAACAGAAGGAGACAAGATCCTGCCAAAGGCATGCGAGATCCCGGAGTTGAAACAGCGTGTTCTGAGTAAAACAGTCCGAAATGCACTAACTTGCGCTGCATTCATGCACCAGTTCTATTCTGAACTCAGTGCTAAGGTGTTATTATGCCTCTGGCTACCTTGAGTGTTACGTCGTGGACCGAATTTTGTTGCATATGCCGCCAAGGTATTGTATGCACTCACTATTTTGCTATCAGTGGCCAGAATGTTTTACTCTTTCCTATCGAATAACTCAATGGATCAGCTACGAGCTTGCTGGGTCTTCAAACTAATTCGCCACACATGCACTCACGTGCCTGTTGATATCTATGATCAACGCGACCAGAGATCTACTTTGTCAATTGTTGTTAAACAGTATAAGTTACAGAAAAACTCTTTTATGTGTAGATGTGTGGTTATCCTACAATCATCCCTCATACGCTGGGTGTTTCAGATACCCTGTCTTTCGCTACAAGTTTGCAAGCTCATGATTATTTGCAATTTATGAATTAAGAGTATCATCCATCTATTCACACTGACCCATTGCGGCAGTCAGTAACGTTGATTTAGATGCTGATGAAATAAGTTTTTGTACAAAAGTATATACTCCAACAGAGCCACCAGCTATGGGCTAGAGACCTCAATCATCATCCTCGGCGTTTTCTCCTCTGATTCAGAGTTCTTCCGATATACAGATTCCTCCATGATAGGGAAGGGCTGATCCCGCCATTTCCGCGCCGGAATTCCATTAATAAAGAACTAGTTAATCTCCTCCATTGAGCGACCAGTGACCTCGCCGACACAGAAATAGACATATGCAAAGGTGATAACACAGAGTCCGGTGTACACGAAGCCAGTTTTGGGGCCGAGGTTGGCCGAGTAATACAGATATGGGAGGGTGAAGACGATTGCCCAGACAGTTATCTATATTTCGGGTTCTGTCAGTATTTGACGCTGGGTAATCACTTGGGGTGTACTTTAATTGGGGCTCTTACCCAGAAGCAGGCGACGGCGACAGCGTATATCTTGTTTCTATTGCGACCAACGGCCATCTCGGAGGCCTGGTACTGTTAGTAAACTCTGGGAGATGGATAGATGGGCGTGTGAGTGCTTACGATCGTCCAACCTAAAGGACCCCAGGCGAAGTTGAACGCAGTAATTTCAATGATAACGAAGCTGATGATCACCTTGCCGAATGTGTGGGAGACCTCTCCACCTGGGATGCCCAGACATCCAACTACGAAGATAGAGACACCCATAATGCCTGTGGTGATGAGCAGGAGAGGCCGCCGGGGTAAGTGATTAGCACAAAATACCGCGCATAACACGACGACAACTTGGATGATGAAAACGATTAACGTCATCAGAAATGGATCGGAAAGCCCGATGGCTTTTGAGAAGACCGTGCCAAAGTAATAAAACCACTGGATGCCGTTAACTTGTTGTGCGACAAGCGCACCTGCGGAATATATGGTTTTGCGTCGCTCGATGGGATCCAGGACTAGGTCCAACCAGGATGATTCTGCTGCAAGTCTTTTTTCATTGCTTATGTCGCGTTGCAAAGTAGCGACGTCGTCCTCCGCAACGTAAGACTTATCGTCACGATTGATACTTTGCAATGATCTCCTGGCTGCCTCTACTTTTCTTTTGCGGAGTAACCAGCGTGGCGACTCTGGCACCGACCAAAGGAAGGTTAGAACTATTAAAGGGAAGATAAGCTGTACGGCCATCGGAACACGATATGCCACCGTACTGTCTATACCTTGAGTTCCGCGATTGATAGCGGCGGCAATAATTTGGGAAATGGACAGGACCAGCTGCCAGCACATGAGTAAAGGGCCACGAATTCGAGTGGGGGCAATTTCCTGTAATCTAGGTCAATAATCATATCCTTTATCAAAAGCATAATGGGAGTAGGACATACTCCAATGTAAAGAGGGGATGTCGCTGAGAAGTTCCCGACACCATACCCTAGCAAGATCCGGCCTCCAATAATCATGGAGTGTTTGTGATCTGTTGCCAATTGTAAGATCACACCGACCACAACCATAATCGACGCAATAAAAAACACTCCTTTGCGGCCTATAAGGTCATTGAGTGGTGCTGCCATCAGAGAGCCCACCAATTCCCCGATGTTGATGACTGAGGTCATGAGAGAAAGACTTGAGGCTGGAATGGCGTATGCCCCGTCAGACTGCCTCTCGCCGAAATGCTCAACGAAGGCGTCCATGGCAGATACTCCTGTGAAGTATACACCATCGTAGCCATAAAGACATGCGCCCAGTGCGGCAAAGGCACAAAAAAGCCAGGCATAAAAGTTTCTGATGAGAGCCATGACTGAAAGCTGCCTTCAGGGAACAACACGAGCCCAAACTTGAGTTCTCGAAAGAAAGAACAACTTGTAAGATAAAGAAAAAAAATTGAAGACTAGTGGGGTTCCACTTTTTAAGTACTATGTAACCCATCTCAGTGTATGTCGGACTAATGCTGCAAGTTAATGGTTAGACCGAGACAGGATGCCGACGGCACGCAATGACGGAACTGGGGACTGGGCTATGTTCGTAGATTCCTATACGGACTGGAGTTACTCCACACTACCGGAAACCGAAAAACGGCCGTTGTGATAGAAATCTAGCAATACTCCCTGAGCCACTCTAACGTTCTCTCCCCATGGGGCACAACGAGCACTGACCAAACGGGCGATGCCGATTGGCTATAGTGCCAAGGCCGCACCTTTAGGGTTCGTGCCGAAAAGTCGCCGAGCCCGGCGGCAAGCGTCAAGTATAGAGGACGGTGTGATTGAACGTGCAGGTTGCATTTGTTAAAATATTTAGCGAGTCCCGAATAATTTAAGAGATTGCCCCCCCCATACACGCGGTGCTTCCAAGTTCAAACCTCGAAGTTTTGCAAGCACCTCAGCCGATTGCTCCTCATCAAGAATGGTGTCGTTTACGGGAGCATCGCCATCATCCTTCAGACGGCTTTCTCCAAGCCAGGGATCTGCTGATGCGATCCCAATACTTGTCAATAGCACCTATCACCTCTTTCATCTGACAACACCGCCTCATACTGTCCATCATCCCGAGAGACTTCGTTCGTATTGGTCGCACCTTCGCTCTAGGAACCTCGTCAAATGGAGCCGAGATGACTCCCCTTCTATCATTCCAGACAAGGACTCTGCAAACCATGACGCCGATGGTGCTTGGACCGGTTCAGCAATTATTGGGCCTGATGGAAACATGCATATTTTCTACACGGGATACAACCTGTCCCAGGATGGAAAACAAGTGATCATTCATGCAGCGTCTCCGGATATAGAAGGGTCATCATTCGTGAAATTCCCGGAGCCAATCTCGATAACTAATGAGACAGTAGCAAATCTTGCTTCATTTGAGGATATTGATTTCCGTGATCCGTATGTGCTTTTCAATCAAGATGAGCGGCAATATTGGATGCTGGTGGCTACGCGCCTCGCGGAAGGCCCGTATTGGACCAGGGGGTGTCTTGCATTGTTGACGTCGACAGACTTGAACACTTGGCATTTGGAACCTGAACCTTTCTTTGCCCCAAATGACATGTTTTGTCCTGAATGCCCAGAACTCTTCACACTTCCCAATGGCCACTGGTACCTCGTTTACTCGAGATTTTCGTCTCCTCACTCAGGGACAGTGTACCGCATGTCCGACTCACCGCGTGGACCCTTCCGAAAACCCAAAGATGGCTCTGCCGGGCGTTGGGATGGAAGGAGATGGTACGCAGCAAAATCTTGCCCCAAGGCCGGAGATCCATCAAAGCGCGTGTATTTTGGCTGGATTGCTGATCGTTGCGAGGAAGACAAGAAGTGGATGTGGGGAGGAGATATGGCGTATCCGCGGCAGGTATACGCTACTGCTGATGGATCTCTAAGGATTGAGCCAGTTGAGGAGATCATGTCAGAGCTCTTTCGTTCAGAACCTATCTTTCAGCGCCCATCCGTCAAGCTCAACTCTTTAGGAGCAGTCAAGAAGCACTTTCTATATCCTACGTCGGCTAGTTCCGGCGCAACTTCGTCCTTGCCAACCCTCATGTCTTTTAAGTTCTCTTCGAGTGATGCAGCATCATTTGGTGTACTTTTCCACGCAGATGCAGACCTTTCCGGCTACTGGCTGCGTTTCACTCCCGCGCAAGCTGGGCCAGGGAGATCATTTTTTACCATATCATTATCTCTTTGCCCCCCTTCCCTAGACGACTTCTGGGCTGATCAGTACAAGTTGTACCTTCCGCGAGAAGTTGATGGTCATGAACTAGTCCGGCACGATAACGTTCCAGTTGGACAGGAGGAAGCCGTGAAAGTTCTCATGATAGGAGATACTTTGGAAGTTTTTGTTGGGGGAAGAGCAATTAGCTATCGGTTTCAACCAAAACAGAGTGGGGGTAAAGGGGGGAACCTGAGATATGGACTGTTTGTGGATGATGGAGAGGTCACTTTCAACTCATTCTTCTCAGTCGTTGGTAATCTCCCGTCAATATAGAGTTCACATTTCAAGGCAGGGTGCGGTTTTGTACTTTGTCAAGTACTGTGAGGAAGGAGGAGATAGTAAGATAAAAAGCAATCAGAACATTTATACGTCGATGTATAGTCTCGTATGATAGTAATGTGTAAGCTTATATGGCACAGCGTCCGCAGCCATGATGGGCAGTAACTGAAGGGGTATCTTTATGAGGAAAAGAAAGAAGAAAAGAAAGAAAGAAACCTGAGAAAAGCCCTATTATAGTACGCTTTGTAGAACATTAGTTTTCTTCAAGCCAGTCAAAATGCCTTGGATTTAAGTTAATCAAATCTTCGCTGATGAGAGGTGTAAGCCAATTGCCTGGAGTATGGGAAGAGGTAGATGTTATGGCTGGGTGAAAGCCAATTTCGATGTCAGAGACTGATGATTGGCAGATGTTAATTGTGGCGATAGTTGGGGAAATTGTTCTGTATAAGGGCTAACTTGTTCATTTGATACATGATCTGGAAGTGGGTGCAGTTGGCACGGCCAAAGCATGCGCCATCCCTCGAAGGATTGCTCCTTCAAGGCGGTTAATTGCATAACGCATTGACTCGCTTCCTTTACCCATAACCCGGAGGCTCCATAGGTAATCGCTTAGACATTCTCTCCAGTGGGATTTCTCAGTTTCTGAGCGTGCTGTTACTAGAAGCAGAGTAACTAAGGATCCAATCAAGGAGAAGTCAAATCCTGATACTGGACATGAAATGGCTATTAGTGGAGGGAGCTTGCGTGCAAGAAATCAATGTATACAAGAGAAGCCTCAGAGAAGAACCAGAATGCCTCCAAATGATCCGGGCGCAGGAAGCGGACAAATGCCATTGCCGCCTCGGCTGAATCACTGGCTAACTTACGAGTATCATTTAGGACAGCAACATGAGAGCAAAGTGGTGCAAGTGCAGTTGAACGAATAATCCTTCTCAGCAGTGTCAGGACTAGACTATGATAGGACAGGTGGAGGAAGTCTTTTGCTCGTTAACGCAGAAAATTAATCAAGGAGCAATATGACAAACCATTAGCACGGAGTCGCTGAGGAACCTGTCTGTCCATGAGCAGTGAGAGGGAAAGGCTCTCGCGCCAAAGACGTAATTTCTCTACAATTGGAAGCACTCGTTGATAAAGCTCAACAGTATCTTGAGACCTGCTGGCACGTAGAGAAAAAGTCTGGTAATATGTTTCCGAGTATTTTTAAGAGTGCGACCATCTCCACAAATCCTTTTCTTCCCGTCTGAACGTCATTTATAGGAGCTTCGCCGATTCTGGTGTTCATATGATCATCAAGATCCTGAGGAACACAACGCTATCCGTCAAACAACCAACAATTACATATGTATATAAAGATCCTTTCAGTTTTTCATAAATTTCTACTTTCAAAGTCCAGCTTTGTGCAATCCCAAGCTCCAAAAATGCTGTTTAACATAAGGGTATCGTAAACCAAGAGCAGAACGCTAAAGACAACATGTAATCATACAACAACGTACGGCTGCTCGCTCCCAACAAGAGTCGATTCACCGGTGTCATCTTCCGAGCCATCGGCATTTAGGTCCTCAATGATCGTTCCAGAGCTATCTCGCCTTTTCTTCTCCATTGGACGCAGTCGACCTTCAGTGTCGAACCACATGACTCCAAAGGGATTCTTGCGAGCCAAGTCTAGGGGCGTACTGCCAACCATAGTCTCATTTTCATCGTCAGTCTCTGCACTTTCTAGTGCCTCAGCTGAAATATCAGCACCAGCGTCCAGTAGGATGCGGAAAACCGATTCACGGCCCCGTTCCGCGGCTAGATGAAGTGCTGTTTTCCCGTCGCCCGTCATGGCGTTCACGTCAGCACCTATTTTCAACAGTATATTTATCAAAGAAGGTCTTGGGATAAGTGCCATGGTGGCCAGATGCAGCGCAGTCTCCCCGGTGGCTGCTGCGGAGCGCGCATTCACATCGGCACCGTGAGCTATAAGCAAGTATATATACTCAGCTGTCTTGTCAAACGCAAGATCAGACACACCTGCGCCCACTGAGACTGCTTGGTGTAGCGGCTCCCAGCCTTGGCTGGATATTGCTCTGAGGTTCAGACCATATTCCAGACCTACTTTCAGAATATCCAAGCAATCCTCGTTTACCGGGGGAGTGATGTGAGGATTGACTCTCCCTTGGCCGTCTCCACGTCGATATTTGCTCCTCTCTCAAGTAAAAACAAGAACATATTTCTATTTCCAGCCCTAGCAGCGCATTGTAGTGGTGTATAACCTTGGGATGTGCGTGCTTCAAGATTGGCACCATGATCTAATAACTTTGCGACAACGCCAATGGTCTTCGAGGTTCTTGCTTGCTCATGAAGCAGAGTCTCTCCATTTTTACTCCATGCATTGATATTCGCACCCCCAATAAGTAAAAGATCAAAGGCAATCCAATTTTTGGCATGTGCTGCAAGCTGTAGTGCCGTATATCCAGAGAGTGAACGAGCTTCAACATTGGCGCATCTCTGTAGAAGCAACGAGATGGCTTCGCAGTTATCGACCTTCGCCGCTAACTGAAGGGGAGTGAAACCATCTTCGTTGGCCATGTCGATTGCTGCGCCCCTGTCGAGGAGAAACAGGATAATACGCGGCCGTCTCCATTCGACAGCAAGGTGAAGTGGCGTATCCCCGCTTCGGATGTTTCGAATGTTCACGTCAACCCTGTTTTTTACCAGCAAGGGAACAGTTGACTCGTCCGATTCTGTTCCAACGGCAAGCTGGAGGCCTGTTTCCCCATACTCGTTTGCGATTTGAGAATTAACACGTCGATGAAGCAAAACTTTCATAACCTTCCGTTGGCCATATTTGGTAGCTAGGTGCAAAGCTGTGCTGCCATTCCTAGTGACCGCATTGCCATCGGCTCCATTATCGAGCAAGAAACCAACCATCTCGTCGTGTCCTCTGTAGGCTGCACAATGCAGGGGAGTGAACTTGAATGAATTATCATTAGCATCAATCTCTGCACCCTGCGTAATGAGACGCTTCGTCTTTCCCACAATCCCGTAAAAAGCGAGTATGTGGAGGGCGGTCCAGTCCTTAGGGTACTTCCCTAGACCTAATTCCGTGGGCATAATCTCTTCCTCATTTACGTATTTCAAAGGTGGTCGTCTCCACAAAAACTTGTTGAGGAACGCCTTGATAAGGACCTGTATTGTTTGCTCTTCGCCGGCGACTGCGCGCGTGTGATATCCCCAATATGTTGCCGCATAGTCTAGAAAACCGCTGTTTGTGGTACGGGTAGGATTCCCGCCATTGTAATAACAATCGTCCACGACTTCGTCAGGGCTAATGGCAGTCAAACAGACTTCTGCAATATCCTTTGGAGCAGTCGGGAAGAAAACCCTAGCCGCTGTGCCGTTAAGGTACTCTTTCACGGTTTTATGAATGAAACGGACGGTGCCCGTCACGGCATCGACTGTCAGAAGTCCCGCACTCCTGGTCTGTAAGGAGGTTTCGAAGGACTCGGATTCAGTATTTGGCTCACTTCCCGCAGCCTTCGTGGCACATCTGAGTTCCTCCACGGTCAGAGGACGAAAAGCATACAGTGTCCAGTAGACGTGGCGCGTGGCACTTGGACTCTGGCTGACGACCTGTTTCATTGCTTCACCATAGGCCTCACTGAGGCTTTGTGGTAGATGAACAAGAGCCCTTTCCAGAAGACTTAAATCTGTATATCGCGCTAATAGATCCATGTGTATCTTTGCTAAAAGGAATCTGGCAGGAAAAGTTAAAAGTCAGCATTGTCCCCTAGCCTTGAGTTAATTAGCCGGGAGTATTGATACTTACATGCCATGACTCTTTTCCATAACCATATGGAGTACTTCCTGTCGCAATTGAAGACCCACTTCGTCTTTGAAGAGCTCATCAAGTCCCGAATCAAGCTGGATCCGGGAGTGTGTATACTGATGAATATCATCAGGTGAAGCCAGAACACTGACGTACGAAGCATTTCCAACCTGGGAAACTTCTCGCAAGGTCACTAGAAGCTGTGCGTGCTCTGGAAGCTTTTGAAGACGACTGAGAATGCGTTCCTTATCCGAGAACATGTCTAATCCGTCCACAATAAGAAAGACTTTAGAAAACCGATTGATCTCCGCGCGGATGGCATTTTGATAGGCTTTTGGCGATGCCCTTCCTTTGCTCGAAGCCTCGGCATGGTATAAAGATGAGGTAGCATATGACATACTTCGCTTGCGATAGACGAGCTGCGCTAGGATATCGCGCAGCAAGTCTGAGGATGTCTGCTCTTTCTCTTCTTGGCAGAAAATGAATATAGTCGCGACGTCGGGGGTGGTGAATGTCTTTTGCAAAGAATCAATGATGACGGATCTACAGACAATTGTGTTAGTATCATATGACCCTACTCGTGGTACCCGAACGTACGACAAAAAGGTTTTTCCAGCACCAGCTATCAATTGACCACATTAGTATCCCCGGCAATTGCGGAAATGGACAAAGCTTACCAGGTCCGACACAGTATAGCGTTTTGAATGAACCCAGCAGCCAGCGCCTGTACTCGCTGTGACCGAAGATCCACTGGCAAGTCCCCTTGAGTCGTCTGTTGCACAGGTCTGCGAGTATCATAAAATGCTCCGAGGATACTTTACTGGTAGTATTCAGAGTCTCGTCCTCGAATTGGAGATCGACTTTCGGCCCTGCGAAGGTTAATCATGTAACCCAATCGGGTGGTCATATCATTAAATTACCTGTTTCTACCTCTTGGCTGGCCCTTAAACTGTTCCTAATTTCCCGATCCAAGAATAGCCTCTCACTATAATAGGTATCAGTCAGGTATCCTCTCAGTATTTTTGTGAGGGTCTACGTGGCACATGAAAGCACACTCACCTCGAGTCTGGCTGCAATGACAGTAGCCATAGAACCTTGTACTGTTCCAACCGTGGCAGAAATGTTCTCTCTAGCAGGTGTTTCCGGAAATAGACCACTCCGACACCACCGGGTTGAAAGTATAGCTCGATCGACTTCATGGTCATGTCGAACCAAGAAAGGATTTCCGCGAGAGCTGCAAGGCGTGACGGTTCGATAAGCCATTTATCCTCCCCCCAGCTGATTTGATCCTTAAAGCGATAAATTAAATCCAAAATGTCAGCTAGTAGGGTGAGAGCACGTTGGGACGATTCCTGAGAGTCTCTACCGCTGTTGAGACATCTCATGACAATCCGTGCGGACTGGGTGGCCCGTGAGAGATCTTCGCGGATTGTTGGAATGTCTGTCATTTTGTCTGTGATTGTCTGGGGTTGCCGTTGCTGGCCAAGTCACGAGGGGTAGAAATGCAGAATACACATCGATGCGTAAGGAATTGAGGGTTGGAAATGCAGACCAAACACGCACAAAGAAGACGACGAAAAACAAGGCAAATGGCAAGACAAAAAAAAAAAAAACAAAAAACTAGGGAGATGGAGGAGATATCGTAGGAGGTTTGGAAATGGGATGATAGATTCGACCTTAGAATAGTGATTAGAAAAAGGAATGCTTAATGTATCTGTCATACTAAAGCATCCAGAAGCCGTGACTGCCACGATTAGCAGTGTTAACCCAAATAGAGTAAGTAGGATTGCCCCTCTGCGCCAACCTCCAGCCGCTGGGCGTACATATGCGCCGCCCGGTCACACGCACCAGGGCGGTTATCGTTCTCTATGGGCTACTGTTGGATCTTCCCAATGCATGGATATCTGCATTAATTAGTCCTAGGAGGTACTTTAGTGTCTTTTTTTTTCCTATTTTGGGAAATTGTTGTCAAGGGAAAAGAAAGTAAGCTCTCACCGGATTGGTAAATGGAAATGATCTTAATTATAGTAATGGAAGCAGTTAATGTTAATTTGTTTAGTTGGTTGACTTGCCGTTCATTTCCACTTGGTCAAGAAAGTGGACAGGTCGATGTGACTTGACCCGCGTTTTCCCTACTACACTACTACATGAATGGCAGTAGTACACAATACGAACAGGTATCAACAAGATGGATCATGATCCCATCACCTACCTCAACAAGTGAAACACCTACAATTGGACCACCTCAAAGAAGGGGCGGGGTAACCGGTTGTCGCTCGAGCTGATGCAGATGCATATCCCGTCAGGCCAAAGGCTGCTGCTCTCCAACGGTTAAGCGCCGGGATGGCCCACTTTCTGTCCTCACCACCAATAACTGTGATAGCCAACCCCTGGACATGTGATGAGATTAATGATTGGTAGGTAAGGTTAAGTCAGGTCCGATAGACTCTTAGTTGCTTTGGCGACGCCTATCACACCTCGTCTCGGAGAATATGTTGGATGGGGGAAGGGTCTTTAGTGGTCCCATCCTGCTCTTTGCACTCTGTTCTGCCCAACTAGTAGGTGAAGCATCTTACCACGATAAGCAGCAGTCAAACAACGCCAAAGAAAATGGGACAAGGTACCAACTCAACCAAGGAAAGCTGAGTTAACAGAAATCATGTATCAGTGAGATATTGTGTTCATATTTTTGTGGTGTATATACATATAAAAACAATCGTAGGATAAGTCCTAGTAGACAGCCCGAGATCCAGCTCATGGCTGTTGGTAGCATTATGTATCGCCAATAAGCAGGCGGGGCGTGTGCCCACTAGCCTGCCCAAAATGTATGTTGTCTAAGTCAGGTCTGGCCATGTAGACAAAGGAAATGGTGCTTGGTATGGGCTAAAACCACATAAAAAATTAACGCAAATGCCACCATCGTATGAGTTAAGGAGATTCGTCAAGTCATAAACCTCAATCAAATCACGAATCACTGCGGAGGATATAGGAGTAACACATCACGTTAAGCCATGGACGGCAAACAGGAAAGAAATAGAACGAAAACAAAGTCAAAGGGGTATAGAAAAGGTGCAAACAAGAAACCTGGTGTAGCGACTGTTTTTGATGTTGGTGTTCAGAAAGCTGTGCCGTTAACATTGACCGACGCACCACTTTCTCGCCCTTTGCGCAGTGCCTTGGCAAGCATCAGCTCCCTCATCCAGTCAATGCGTTCATCTCGAGTTTTGACTGCGAAGTGGTGAGATTTGGGGCCGTTGGCGAAAAGTGCCTTCTTGTCAAAGCTGCTGTTGGTCGGTGAAGGGATAAGGGAAAAGGCAAATGCTGCCTCCCCTTGGCTGCTATCTTTGCGCTTCAGGACAGTTTTCTTGAAGGCGGCAGTCAGCTTCGAGTTAGAAGGCAGAGAAGAACACGCGACCGCGTAGTCATCAACGTCAATGTATTCGAGTGCCTTCGAGTTTCGCTGGGAGGCATCCTCGTCAGAGTACATCGCAAGCCGAGTGCCTCGGAGAGCAAAGTGATGCTCCTCCCATTCGTGGCGCAAGAGGCGAGTTGTTCTACGCTTTTTCATCCAGCCACTGTGGATGATATCGTTTGCATACCGCCCCCCAGGGGTAAACGGATTGTTTCTGCAGTGCGCGGCTCGCGGGGTTCTTGCCATATCCTCTGGTGTCTCGATTGGAGGAAGGGGCTCTCGTTCCTCTAAAGAATGCATTGGTCCGAAGGTTTGCGGATTCAAGTGAATCGCATTACGACGGCTGTTCTCGTTTTTGGTGGATGCGGGCCGAGGGATTGGGTCGGTTAGTTGACGGGCATAATGCCCACCAAAGCGCATATCCGGTGGCACGGACTGAGAACACATTCTTGCGACGGGCCCTAGTGGAATTGCTGTTATCGGGACATCAACCTCGGAGAAAGGTGTTGTTTGTCCATAATGAGGGTCTTGTCTATAGAAGTCCGCGGGGGACTCCGTAGAGCTGTATGGCTTTGGGGACTTCGGTACATTGTGCTGGGAGAAGGGCTGTTTTTTGCCAAGTATCGACGGAGTAATCGTACGCTGGGCGGAGTAATTTGGGGAGAAGGTAGAGCTTGTCACATCTGAGTGAGTGCTCGGGATCCTGAGTTTCGGGAGATGGCGTAGATTCTCCGATAGGGTAGCGTTGCCCTTGGCTGATCCAGGCGAATCAGAACTTGGTGAGAATTCTTTGGGAGGGGTAGCGGGGTCAGTCACTGGCTGAAGCCTGCTGAGCCTTTGAAAATTGAGGAAGTTGCGGACATTTTCCTGAGGATCCCGAGGTCGTACGTCGTTCAGCTTCTCTTGGGAAAGCTGGACTTCAGGGCTCTGGTTTTGGCCCAAGGCATCGGAGGAAGCGATGACAGATGGCGTCACCTCTGACTTGGGTGTCTTTGCTATAGTCTGTGCAGTAGCAGCATTCCCCGGGTCGCCAGTGATGAGGACAGACCCGCCTAGACATTCGATAGGGACGTCTTTGGCTAGCCGGGCGAGTTTCGCTTGCTGCTTTTGCCACTTGCGACAGTTTTCTCCCTTTGAGCAGGTGTGCAACCTTGGCAACAACTGCTCGATCGCAACAATCGAGACTGAATCCTCAGGGACGAGATCGGTTCCTTGACGACGCTTGTGACGGTGACGACGTCGGCGCTGGGCGGACGCGGCCCTAGGCTTCTCCTCTGTGATTGGGCTTGTGCACTCCGTCACACCTACGTCCGCGGCAGTCGTGTGTGGCGTTGATGTGTCTTCTCTTGAAGTGGGATCTAACGAAGACTGCGAGTCACAAGTACTAGAAGCACTATCTCGCAATTGCCGAATGCAGCCCATCAGACGATGCCGCTTTCCAAAAGATTGAATACCAAGCTCTTTTAGGTCATCCGCTTGGAGCTCAAGTAGAATGGAACCGGAGATATCGTTGACGAAAAATCTCTCGATAATTGAGTCATCAAACCCTTGGTTCTGCATCCACATAACGACGTCTTCGGGGGACCAGGATGATACATCAGACTCCGAAGGTCCGGATGCAGGCTTGTTCACGGTCGTCTCCTTTGTGTGTGTCTTCACCTTTTGCTGTACATTTGTATTCTCTGGGACAGGTGTATCCAATCTCTCAGGCTCGAGTTTGGAAGCAAAAGAGTATAATGGAGCCGTGGCACTAGTGGGATAGTCTTCCGCAACCAAGTCAACACCAAGAGATGCTTTCATCTCAGAGGAATCCCCTGAGAGGCGGAAAAGGTGTGGTCCCACTGGTCCTTTTACTGGGCTTTCATCAATGTGGAAGTGAAATGCTGTGAGGCCCGTAGAATCCGGAGTCTTGACATCGTCTGGGGTTGATGCGGTAGTCACACTTTCTGTCCCAAGCTAAAGCAATCTCGAGTTAGATTGTAGCCTTAAAAACCAATTCAGAACAGGGGCACGAACGGATCTCACGCTCTTCCGGGAGTAGTCATCTGAGTAGGCCTCCAAAGAGTCCGAATCAAAGTCCGTATCAAGGATCTCTGTGGTATCCGAATATGACTCTGGCCTACGGAGGGCGAAATTGGGAGGAAAAGCCGTCTGTAAGCAGAATGATTAGCTTCTCTTCCGCTTTCTTTTCTCTTCCTCAGTTCTGTCTTTTCCCTCCTTCCCTCGGAGCAAAAGAGTAAGAGAGAGCTACCATATTGATTGATTGGTCGATCGACTTCGAAGCAAAAAGCACCCTGGGCCAGCCAAAGGTAGTCTCGAATAATCGTAATGACCACAATAGACTAGTGTTGTTATGTCAGGCACCGCACATTTCACCGTACATGGAATAGGAACGACGAACATTGGGGTATCTCAATGGGACGGCAACACGTCCAAGAAGAGTGTCTAGCAAACCCGTCACATAAATAGCGGCGCTTAGGTCAAGAGGAGGGGTGTACAAGGCGAGGGAGTGGTGTGATGTACAAGCGTTAGGGCAAAATGACCCTCACCCCCGGAGATTTGGTGGAATTAGCTAGATATATAGTTGGCGAAATGCATGCAGAGAAGGGAAATCCAACATGTATAAGTATACCGCGGACTGTGACATCTTCGCTGTCGGGGGCATGGGTTAAAAAAAGAACAGGCGCGGCCAAGGACGAGTCTGTGACGGTAAAAAGCCAATGAATATCGGGTCTTGGAGGTATGTGACAGATGGAAGCCGCGTGCATGAATGAGGGGAGCACCAAGCAACATTGATTGGGAACAAGCCCATCGTTGCATTCGAGCGACCGAGGTTCACCATTTGATTCGTGGATAACTTTCGAAAAAGGCAAGCCGGCGGCTCAGGAAACGGCCAATCCTAGCGTTTCATTGGGTGAAACGTGATGCTGCAGGATCCTTCAAGGTTTAGTATTCGTAGTCTCGTAGTAGTTGTAGGCGAGTTTTTTGATGGAGACACTAGGCACAACCGTGACGGAGGGGAGGAGCGGGAATGCCCGATGAGAGGCCGGCGTTCAAGCGCTACTGCTGTGACAACGGCTGGGGTTGGCCAATGATAGTCACATTAAGCTACTTTAGTTCCGGTTAATCACCTCCCCAAAGTTAGTTTCTTGATAAATATAGCTTTTTCTAGGAGAATTAATTGTGATTAACGACGGAACCCGTGGTTAATAGTTCCTAGAATAGCATCAGGCTAACCTTAGTGCGATTGTGATGGGTTTCCAGATCTGTATGTGATGCGATGCTATACCGTGACCCCTCACTGCATACTAGTACTTACTAGTAGTACTCCGTATTCCTACGGACTCTGTAGACACGATCGTCATTTGGATATATTGTTGCATCTATCACATTGTGGCAAAAAGTTAACTAGTACTATTTCAGTAACTTCCATTCCAGCCATGGAATACTAATAAGAATCCTCTTCTCTCAACGCCCCGTACATGAGTCGACCTTCATTGTTGCCCTTGGTCTCAATCGGTTGATATGCTAGTACCTTCCACACACTATATGTGTATTTTTCTTACTTTACCCTAGCCGTTTCTGACCCCATTACAACTTGTGGATAATATCGGATCATTTCTTGCAAATTTTCCCAAGAGCGCATCCCCTTTCATACCGTGCGGTATCTGAATGCTGAACCAAAAATGATGCTGGGGTGGCTTGCGATATTCCACCGTTGCTAAAGTGACTAACGAGGACTTCACTGGTCTTGCGGCATAGAAAGGATTCTGGTATGATACGATAGAGGTCTGAGCCCTTACTACTCTTGGTTTACTGTTGTGAACACACTGCATTGTGTGAAAGTGATAAGGTAGTTGCAGGTGCATGGTTACTCACCGTAATTTACCACCGTTTCTCGCTTCCTTCATGCGCTATTTTTTTTCCCTCCCTTCCCCGCAGACCTTTAATTTGTCGCACACCCCCAATGTCAAAAAATGTCGAGAAATGAGCATTGATTGAGTACGTCCACTCATCGTCAAATCTACCTCGTATAGCCTTACTAGAAGTCTTAAAGCTTAGTATAGACTCCATGATCACCAATTGACGGGTTGGGGAGGGGGGGGACATATAGTATTATTTGCCAATCGGCGCGATTCCAGCAATGGTGATGCGAATCTCGGCTGATCTCAAACTGCTCATTTGATGCAATGACCCTGAAGCGTGAGCGAGATCGACGATTAAGATGTCAATTACTGAGGCGTATCATGCTGCAACATAGCAGAATACAAACAATGCGATCGGGACCGCTCATTAGTAACCAAACTGCTATTTCTTGGACCCCCTACATTGTAGAACAGAGCATGTGGATAGATATCCACAAGAACTGGGAACCTCCAGAGAATGCAAGGCTGAGGTACACATGGTGAGGGGTTCCTAGATGAATGTGAGAGCACTCAATGGCATTCAATTGCAGTAATCGTATGAGAGATCGGATATTCTGGTCTGTGGCGTTCCATCAGTATAGTACGGAGTAGTCCTTGCTGAAGTGTACAGTGCTCTGGGATCACGCCATCAAGGCACGATCCAAGTCGAGTCATGGGACGTGACTGCCAAAGCATATCCGCAGTGATCCTACTAGTCGTACGTACCAACGTCACCTTCAGGGCAGGTATAACCAGATAGCAGCACGAGTATCACCAACACAACAGGCGGCTCTGCACATCACCGCAGTCAATAGCTGGCTAAAGCACGAGACTTTCACATCTCGAGTATCAAAAAATTGATAGCGGCGCTTATGACAGTACAGACAACTGGTTCTCAACGCATCCGACAAGTTGAATGACTTGTGATAGTACACATTGCCCCAATGAACCTGTTGGGTCTGGGGAGGTGGTGCCCGCTAGAGGGGAACCGAACAAAGCAACGCCTCCGCAAGTGATCCGATGAAACCTGGGGCCGAGCACGAGTTGGTGCTTAACCAGAGCATTTCATTGACTGTCAAGCAGGTTTCATGTAGGGTCAATTGCTAATTATGTCGACTGGGCTGAAGCTGAAACGGGTGATTTGGTCATCGGGACTTGGTTCATGCACTCCATGCAGGCAATTAACCAGTAATCCGAGTGAGTCTTGGTCCATGAGCCCATATCAGAGAAGTTAATTAGATCACAGCGTTAAAAAGCTAAATTTATCGATCAGGAAGTCGAATCGCCCTTAGCCGCCCAAAGCAGGAATTAAGTGACCAGAGACGTCCCGAATCTGGCGGTTAAGTGTTACTAATTAAGGCGGCCATAGGACGCTATCGGACAAATCAGATCTTATCAGACCCTTCCAGGTGGCTCTCGCTCTCTGCACGGGCCATGGAGTTCGTCGCTTCTTGGTTGGGTGAGATTGTCTTGTTTTGAGGTTTTGGCGCCCTGAGACAAATCCACGGCTTACAGCCAAGCCAATAGAGTTGGATCGCTCGAAGCTTGGCATGCACCTAGTGAGCTGCTTTCACAATTTAGCAGCGTTTCAGCAGTCGCCGAGGGCTCTTAGAAGGGTGTGATTGACCGATTTGAAGTCGCTCGCAGCCAATGATTAGCAGCCGGCCTGAATGACAGACAGGGATGGACCTCCCTTTGACATGCGGAACCAACACTAAACTCTTGTATCTACATACCTACCTACTACCTACCTCTCTACGCATTACCGCAGTCTGGTTCACGCCTTATGGAGGCTTGCATGCTACTGCGGGGTATTCATTTCGTCCGCGTTGGGATGAAGCCCGGTAGCTATAGGGTCTCCATACAACGCTGCAGCGGTATCATGGAATCCAGCTCAGTGACTACGACTCTATGGACTGAGAAGCACCTGAGTACAAGATACCCCAATCCCGACAGCGAATGATATAGCGAGAAAACTCACTATTAGGGATCTTGATCGCCTATCAGAGAATTCGAACACGCGACGCCAAAGACTAGCTGCATGCCCTAGCCAGGAACCCTGGCAGGTATCCCCGCTCACCACGCCCGTCACCCCCCAGTTTAATGATCCCAAATTTAGTTTCTAGACGCCAGTTATTCGCCGCGCGCATCAGATCGTCCCGTCAGCGGCTCGCACGTCGTCTTGACTTCCACCATGCGTGCAAGCAAAAAATAGAAGCGTCGGAGTCGGATAGACCTTCGCCAGATTGCATTTAAGGACAGCATCTCCAGAGATTTAAGGCATCATGGTCGGCATCATCACAGTGACTCAATCACAGCTTTTCCTAGCCGCCTCTTCTATTCTACATTCTCAGTTCACAAGAGCTTTCTGCCCATCTACAAGTGTCTTCTGCTGCAATCCAATTGTACCAACCAACGCCAACACGAGATCGTATCGACTGTTGGTCGGTTCTCAATCAGTTGTTGACATTTAAGAGCGCTCATCTGCTTTGGTTTCCCTGTTTAAGCCCTTCTCCTCTCGAGATAGCCACGCGCCCATTATGTCAAGCACCGCATCGCGCACTACTCAGGCCAATCCTACTGGTTCTGGTAGGGCCACTGAGGGGGGTAGAGGTCGTTCCTATAGAAGGCCAGCGAGTCACAGACGTTCGCGCTCTGGTTAGTCTCCAAGACCTCCTCCAAACACAGTACCTTTGAAGCACCTTGAACAACATAAATATCTCTACCTTCGCCCCCCCAAACTGACAAGTCTGTTGTGTAGGATGCTACACTTGTCGTCTTCGAAGAAAGAAGTGTGACGAGACCCATCCAGTCTGCGGATCCTGTGGTAGCTTGAGGCTTAACTGCGAGTACAACAAGCCAGAGTGGTGGCCCGATATGGACCATCGACAGGTTGAGAGGGACCGTATCAAGGAGATGATTAGGGAGACCAAAGTCATGGAGAAGCAAGCCAGGCTGCAAGGTATTTGCCTTTGAGAACCACATAGTGTATGGCTTAATCCTAACATGGCACTTTTTGTATCAGGCGAGTTGGACAGACTTGTTCCAAGGGGTGCCCCCAAGTACGACTTCAACACGCCCCCGGAGTACGGCAGCTCAAGTGCTGGACCTTCTACTCAGCCCATGCCTACCTTGCCTTCTCCAAGTCAAATGTTGTCTAGCATGCCTCCACCCCCTAGTCAGCCTATGCCTTGCGTGCCTCCCCAAGTGACTACTTCTGTCTCATATCCGCATGGGATCAATGTTCAAACTGAACAAAGGACTTTGGTTCACGATAGTGCTGCTCCCGCTTCATTCAATACCATGGCACCGCAGCAGCCATACGCGCAGCAGCCATATGTGCAGCAACCCAACATGCAACCGCAATATGCACAGCAGCCGTATGCGCAGCAGACCAATGTACCGCAATTCAACATGCAGCAGCCATACACACAACAGCCATATGTGCAGCAGTCCTACACGACGTACCCCGCTATGCCAGGCAACGGATGGTACCCAGGTTATACCCAGCAACCACAGTTCCCCAATGTTCCTAATACAAGGGAATCGGGTTCAAACAAGAGACCATTGTCCTGCTATCTCCCCGCTACTGTACATGATATTGATCCCCGGGAAAGGCGGCTTGTGTTCCACTTCGTCGATAACGTCTTGCCGGCGATCTTTCCTGTTCTTGACGTCCACCAGAAGGGCGTTTCTCGCTTCCGTGAGATTCTCAAATCCTTGGAAAATAACAAGTCTTACTACCATTGCTCCCTTAGTGTGTCTGCCATTCAGCTGAAGGGCATGCTCGGAATGAATAAGGAGGAGATGGAGAATGATGTTGTGCACCATCGGTTCCAGGCAATTTCGCATCTCTGCCAGTCGTTGAATGTGGACCATGGCCACGATACTATGTTGGATGCAACACTCGCGATGATCTTCTTCCACGCCTCTGTTGGTGGACCCCTTGACCACCTGCCAGACATTCCATGGAACGAGCACTTTGGCGCAGTAACCAACCTTGCCAACAAGCTTAATCTCATAGAGGCTCGTCCAAACAGGAAGCTTCCATTCAGAATGTCACTCACCACATGGATTGATATTTTGGGAGCTACCATGCTGGGCAAATCCCCTCAGTTTGCACACGCCTACCGCACCAAGCATTTGAATGGAATCTCGTCCGGTTTGAAGGAGTTAATGGGCTGTGAAGATCGGGTCATGTACTTGATCTCTGAAATAGGCTGCCTGGACTCACTGAAGTCAGAGGGCCGTCTCGATACTCATGGTATCAATCACCACCTTTCCGCGTTGACCACACAGCTTGACCGTCTTGAGCCTACCGATCGAACTCTGGATGATCCTTATTCCGCGACAGGAGAAATCAATGCTGGTATTTTAACGAAGAACATTACTGCTGCATTCCGTGTCGCCGCCCGGATCTATCTCTACAGCTTGACACCCGGGTTTGATCGCAAACAGGAAAGCATCGTCAGCTTGGTTGAGCACTTCTCAAGCGTCCTACGCTTTATCCCAACCGGCCCTTATGGCTTCGATCGGGCACTCGTCTGGCCGCTCTTGATAGTAGGAGTATACTCCACTGAAAGATGTGCTTTCCGTGGCATTTTGGCCCAGCGTTCTACGGCTCTGGGAGACGCAGCCGACACCGGCAGCTACGGCCGAATGTACCGACTCCTGAAGGAGGTTTGGAGAGTCACGGATGAGCCGCTGACATTTGCCACTTCTACCGACGGGATGATCTTCCCTTCAGAAAGATTGAACGGCGAATCTTCGCGAATGTCTGCTCCCATCAACAGAACAATTGGACAGCCGCTCAAAAAGCGAACCGGCCACTGGCGGGCTGTCATGAAGCGTCTCGGATGGCGCTTTCTCCTTGTCTAGGGTTCAACACCCTGTACATACGAACGAGCAGATCTAAAATTGGCTGGTATGCCAAAAGCCCATTGCCCTTTGCCATCGAATGACATTCTAACTAGTGGATTACTATAGTAACTCTTACAACCGATCCGCACATACAAAGTTACAAGTTGCGCCGTTTCTCTCGAGGACCGTATCCATATTGATGCTTTACATGTTTTTACGCTTTGCTATTCTCGCTAGTTTTGCTTTTATGCTTTTGCTTTTCAGTTTCTAGCTTTCTGTTTCGGTTTTTATGCTCCCAACTACGCTTCTTTCATTACGACACCCCACTGAGTTATTGCTTTTTTGGCTTACTTGTTCGCTACTTGACTTTACCTTTCGTGCCCTTACATTCCCGGGCACTTGACAGGAGATTGCGATGAGCTGCACGAGCGATGAGCACAGATCGTTGAAGGGAATATCCATTCATTACATAATGTTTACGCTTTAATGGCTTTAGTTAGTTCAGTTAGTTCAGTTTGATGATTTTTGAATTGATTTGTTTTGATTTATTTAATACACATGGACTTGGTCATCAATTGTGTAGAAGGGCCTTGTTGTCGACACTGTGGAGTTACCAGGCAAGCTCATTGCGGACGAAATCTGGTCTAGGTAGAAATTTATGGCGTTTGCCACTGTAAATTACTATTCATTTAGAATTAGCATAATTTAGTCTGTTAACCTTGATAGTAATTAGCAGAATTACCCCCATAAGGAACCGCGGGGCACATGTCCCTACTAGTACCTACAGAGCTGCAACCCTATGCAAGGGCCACCATTTGCATCTACACTCATACGTCATGAACAATCAGACGACAAAGAGAAAAAGTGAACGATGCATCATATGGATTATAGAAAAAATGTCTCAAGCAGCCTGATTCCCCCTCTTCTGCAGTAGCAAAAGCCAGGACTAGACCACGGCTGTCGGAAATTGGGTAACAAAGAGGGGGGGAAGACAGAAGATAGCGTCGAAGGAAGGAGGAAAGGAGATCCAACCGAACAAACGATCTAGCAGAGCCTTGCGGAAGGGCATAACTAGTCTCGTACGGCTGAAGAGGAGAGGTGAAATGGCTCAACGGAAGTGTAGGAAGGCATCTTATTCGTGGTTCTAAATACCGCAGTGTAGCCGCCGACTTAATATGAAGGCGCACACTTCCGCAAAACTATCGCACTCAAGTCACAATCCTTAAGCGCTGACCCGACTCCACGGCTCCAATCCGGTCACCCCATCATCCGCACAACGACATACAACCAACCATCCCCGTACGCCGAACTCCTGACCAGTTCCTCCACTGGCGCTGACATGGGCACAGCGGCACCATGGAGCACGGGCTTCGCTAACACGGGCGTCCTCCGACTGGGAAACAGGTTCGGGAGTAGCGAATGCAAGGCTGTACCTATCGTCTGCGTCTGCGGTGTGATACTACTTCGTGAAAGGGTCAATTGGCTAGCCGCCACGCTGGAGGGAGGGATCGACGGCGGGACCGGGGACTGGACGACCTTGAGAGAAGGCGAGCCCGAGTCAGGCGGGAGGGGGAGGAATATGCGAATTGGGATGTTCCGGAAAGGCTGATTGGGAGGTGGAAGGAGGATATTAGAAATTCGTTGGAAGGAGGGGAGTTCCACTGCCTTGGCTTAGCTCTGTTGTTTCTCGGTCATTTGATAGAGTATTGATATGGAAATGAGAGGACTGAGAGATGAGAAAGGGTGATCATACCATCCTGTACAGACTTCCATAGCCCAGATGAATCCTCCTTCGAGAGACTCATAATGCCCTTTGCGGTCCCGTTTCGCAGGAAATCCGCTTCTTTGACGCTGTTGATGAACGCGTCGTTCATCACCATGCCCTCTGCGTCCAGTCGGACTAGTTCTTCATCTGGCCAGTCGCTGAAGTGCACGACGAGACGCCATGGTAGTGGACTATCTTCGTTATCGATGTCCCAGCCTGCGTCTTCCGGCTCGACGGTTCCCTTGGATGCTGGGTCAGCGCCCGCATAGAGGTCATATAGCAGACCGATAGGGAGATGCCATTTGAGCGGGACGCCTTCGAAGGAGAACCACCCGTCATGGGCTTGGGAACTGGGGTCGATCAGAGAAGAGGCGAAGAAGGCCCTTAGTCTGGGCAGGAGGGATGGCAGATAAGAGATTCGGGGGTAAGAGATCTAGGCCGCCATTAACATTGCCCGAGACGTGGCCATAGAGGGTAGAGAATTTACAAGATACGGGTCAGACTGGTCGTATATGCGACTTTCTGATGGGGCAAGTCTAATCTGTAAGGGAAGTCTGCCGTCCCATACGGCTTTCTGGATACTGTTGAGAGTTGCTTGCGATCCCATCTTTGTCAGTTGTTCGATGAGGAGCAATTTAAGTTTTGCTTGTCTACTACGAGAGGTTAGCATGTTGCGCAATTTCCATCATACATGGTCTTGGATACCACGATTCATTCGATTCCTGGATTATAAGGGCAGCCTGCGACCTCGTCTAACTACACGTTACAGCTGAGACTTCGAGATGTTTGTCCCCCACTATCAGTTCCACATGGTTGAGGGGTCACGTCTGTCAACGTGTTGCACACTGTCTATGTAGGAGAAGCGGATCGCAACACGAGTGTATGCTAGTGTTTGTCAAGCTAGAGAAGAAGAACCACCCTATCAAGGTAAAAGGTGAGGCTGATGCAGAAAAGCAAGTCCAAATGTTTAGAGACACGGAAAGTTGCCCGATTGGGATGACACGTGACTGTTGCCTGAGGCATACATGGTGTCAGTATAGCTTCAGAGATCTAAAGGTGAATCAACTCTACAGCTTTAGGGCGATGAAGCATCATGGCAATGTACCTCCTGGACCATTCAATAATAGTGACAGTCTCAGTGTATGCTTAACTGGATATTTATCAGGGAATGCAGTTGGTCCCTACATCTTTCTTCCTTTCCACGACCAGCCATTGCCTAGTTTTGCTTAAAGCCACACTTAATGGACTCCAGCAACGCTCGCAGGGGCAAGATCACTTTCAATAAGCTAGCCATATCGTTGATGATACTGTTTTCACTATATGATCGACTAATACAATTTATAGGTATTCCAGTCGCAGGTCGCAATCTCCCGTTGATGCCACTAGCCTTGATCTAGTTCAGTATCCGTGGGCTGTATTTGTCTGCCTACGAAGTTGCTACTTTCAGGCAACCCCAAATGCACCCTGAGGAGTGCTTCGAAGATAATTCCAGAAGGGATGTTGATCGCCATCCAACCTTGTCCCAAGGGATATCATCAACATTCGGCAGGTTGCAGTGGTTTAAACAAGCCCCGGAAATACTACGATCTACACGCCACATTATCCTTTCACTCCGTCAGCCCGTTCATAAGGGGATTGGAAACTATGAAATAATTGAAAACTGCTGACTGGAGTGACCATGACGCCAACTGGTTGCAGCTCACGATGATCCAGAAGCCCGGGGGCTTTGCTCTGTTCGGTTGACCTTTGGAAGCAAACGGCATGTACCCAGCCATGGCTGAGAATGGACAAGGAGCAAAAGGTATAAGTATGGACTGGAGAGGACGACGAAAAACAGTGCCCCAATCACCATCAGGCAGTTTTCAACACCATTCTCCCACCTGAGACATGGCCTGTTTGCTCAGCCCCCCTGGGAACAGCACAGCTGGCGTCTACATGTCATTGTCTCACGCCCAGCCTTATCGTGCAACTGTGAAATGCAATTACACACTTGCAGACAGTTCCCTGCGTCCCAAGCAACAAGAGAAACCAGTTCCATCAATTTATACACTACTGGCCTGGTGAAAACCTGGTTTGGGGTCCTTCCCGGGTGGGAAACAATTATGTAAACGCTGCAGGCTTGGTCATCGCCTGATTGATCATTAACCAGGATGGTACTAATGCAGGCTCTTCAGTTGACCCAATGGTCTTCGCCAGACCCATCGTGGTTGCCTAGCTGTTTGCCTTGAGGCAAGTCCTCGTTTGTCACTTCACCTCATTGAGATGATCAGCACTAGTGCAATTTCCTCATAATCTAGCATTAGAGCGGTTCGTCTCTCTGCGTGTCTATCCAATTCCATCGGATTGATTACCAGGCCCAAATTACTAAAGTATCGGATGCGTATCTGGCCGATATTGGCATTTCCTCTTTCGATGAAAAACATAACCCCTCGAAGGTGACCAGAGTTGATGGCAAGGATGCTTCTGTTGTTTTGTCATGAGTGCTACCTTCCATCCGGCAGGTACTCCTGAGGTTTTCTTCAATAGCCTCCCTTGAGCGAGTGGCCCTGACAATATAACGATGAGTCCCTATTAAGTTCTCTATACCAGTAATGAAATTCGCCCAAGGAAAAGGCGACACAGTATTAGGAGTTCCTTACCATTCTCCCAGCATCCAGAAGACTACCAAGATTGGATAAATTCAAATTTCGCTTACACCTCTCCTCGACCACCCAACCACAGCAAGGACAATCATCTGAGCCCTCCACAGAGAAGATCAGACAGAGGCCAAGCCTCACTCGGGAATGATCGGCTTGTCTTTGTCTATCGAAGGAAAAGAGGGGAAATCCTACACCTGGTATTCACGAAGGCCGTCTGACCTCAGAGACACAACTGCAAAGCCAGCTTGGCTATGGCGGTAATAGCGGGTATCAGCTTTGCCCAAGAATGTGCTAACTGTGCAACGTCACGCATCAACAGCTCGAGACTTTTGGCAAACCCAATCCTATCGTTTGCAAGGGTAACACAACGTGAAATTGGCTACATGAGTGTATCCTTGTCTGATTAGTTCCTCAATGACTTCGTGCCATCATTTCACCCATATGCGTTGGGCCGCTGGTAAAAATAAAGTTAACGAAACTGCAATATCAGCGACTAAAAGCCAGTGACGCAGGCCCGCCAGAGCATGGGGTGAAACGTGGGGGTGGAATCTCGTCATTGGATATGGCTGTCGTCTAGGGTACTAAAAACGGATCTTAGAAGAATAAACACTGCC